AAGAAGAAGAAGAAGAAGAAGAAGAAGAAGAAGAAGAAGAAGAAGAAGAAATATATATATATATATATCTCAGAGTTGGTTATGGTAGTGCACGCTTGTAATCCCAGCACTCAGGAGGTTGTAGCGGGAGGACTGCTGTGAGTTCAAGGCCAGCCTGTAGTAATAGAGAGACTCTGTCTCAAAATACACACACACACACACACACACACACACACACAGTGTATCTGAAAATATATGGTAAACTAGTAACAAATAGAATGATGGTGTCATGGACAATTTTCAACATTTTTATTTGTACCTTCCAATTTTTTATAGTGAATATTTTTCTTTATTGGTCTTTTCTCATTTATAAAGTTTCTCAAAGGCACGTCCCAGGATTTATACATGAGTTCTCACAGAGGACATCCCCATTGACAGCCCCTGAAATGTGACGAGACCTGCACTAAAGCCAATTCTCAGGAAAGACATTTGGTATTCCTACCCTGCAACATGACATTCTGTACATGTGCTTTTCTCTCCTAAACACTGAAAATTTTTAACGTGTTTCTTATTAAAAGTAATGTTAGCTGTTCATATTTCTGGTTGTCTTGATGACCAAAATCTAATTTATATATGCTCCAAATTGGTACTGCTTTTGATTTTCTATTTTATATCTGACCTCATAAATATTAGCAGTAATTCTAAAATATGGATTTCTAGAATCATTTAGCAATTTTGTCTCCATTTGATATTTTTATTCCATTTCCACTTTATTCAGAATTTCTAAAACTAAGAATGATGAAGAAGGAATCCTTATTTTTTTTAAATGCAATGCTTCTCGTATACCACTGTAGATCTAAAATTGATTTTAAGCACATAAGCTCAGTTCCAGATGGCTTAAATCCTTAATATAACTACGGAGAAGCTAGAAGTATATAAAATAGAATATTTATCAAAAGGTATAACATAAATAAATTTAAAGCTTACAATGTCCTCTTAGGAGGTAAAAGAGACCATTTAGAGAAAATATATGTGGCAAATATGACAAGGATTGCCGGACCTTGTGAAAAGAATGCCAAGAGCTAAGCAGATGGATATACATACAACACTGAAAAGACAATGTCATGAAAAAAGTAGTCAAGAAAAATTGTTCACCTTGCTCCTAAACAATGAAATGGGGGGGGGGCTTGCAGGTTAGCTCAGTTGTTTAAAGCGCCTGCTTGGGCAAACTCAGTCAGGCTCAGGGGATCGGAGTTCGATCCCCAGCTTCACATGCTGCACCAGAAGCATGCTTCACATGCTTCACACACCCCTAAGGCAGCCTGAGCCAGCCAAAATAAAACAATGGAATAAAAATAAAAACAAGGTGTTACTGCTTTAGGTTCAACAAGTTACTAAGTGGTGGAGACTTCTTATAGAGCAGAGTAACTACAAGTGATGATAATGTATTATACACTTGACAATTACAAAAAGAATACAGCCTAAATGTTGTTATCACAAAGATATCCTTGGTCTATGAGTTAATGGACATGTTAATTGGCTTGAATCAATCATTTGGCCATGTACAGGTATATCAAGCATCATGATATATACTGTATAACATTTTGTCAATTACAAATTTCATAAAGCTCGGAGAAATAATGGCAAAAGAGGGAAATAGTCAAGATCCAAGAAAATATACCACACTGGTATATCCAAAAAATTATTTTGGGAAAAAAATATCAATAGGTACTGGTAAAATAAATAAAACCCAATAAAGTTGATTCACATTACCTACACAGGTACACCCATTTGTTAAATCTCATGAAACTCTACACTTAAAATGCGTACACTTTGTTGGACTTGATGTATATCTCAATAAAGTGGATTTAAAAAGTAAACAAGGATTGATCAAAGAGTCCTATCTGCTTAGCCTCTATAACTGCACTTGTAGGAGTAAAGTCTATGGAAATGGTCAGAAATGAGAACAAGGATTTAAACAAGTTTCAAAACGTGTGTAGTCATTGGAAAGTTGTGCAGTCGTAAATCAAGGTCTCTACAGGGGATTTTTATTTAATGATCTACACAATCATTAAAAAGCAATTTTGTAGGCTGGGGAGTATAGCTCAGGGGTAGTGTTTATCTAGCTTTCTTGAGGGCCCTGTATCCAATCTCAGCATCATTAAAAAAAGAAAAAAAGATGAATAATAATAGTCAAATTGTGTAGAATATTTTGTTGACCAGGAAAAAGTCTTATGACCATCCTTATATGGAAAGAACAAAATACAAAACTAGAACTTTCAATTGTGTATATTTTAAAATATACCCATATGTTTATGGTAGTTATCTCTGGGGGTGGAATTACAGATTTTTTTTTTTACTCTTTCCAATTTGATTCAAAACATGTATATAACTACACATTAGAAAAGCATGGACTACAGTATATAGTGATATTGTAGTGAGAATGCTTTATGATATTTAATTCATTTGCTGGGTTTGAAACAGAGTGGTCCTATCATCAGTGGGAGGCTGGGGTGATCCTAGACCCAGGAAGGAGGGTTACCACAAACTTACTCTTTTTGCAGCACTAGAGAATGAAAGTGACACTCCAGCTCCCTGATCTCTTCCTGGGTCTGAATCTTAAAGTTCTTCACATTTTCTTAATAAGGCACTATGGAGTTCACCTCCAGCTAGCTCCCTGGCCTCTCCTGCCCCAGCCCACAGGCTTTCAGGAATTCATAGGACAGAGGGACTCTCAGCCTGGACATCCCCTGTGGCTGAGAGTTGCAGTTCTCAGGGCCTGGAACGCACTGTCCCCGCTTTAGTTGACACTTCATCCTTCAAAGCCCAACTCAGTGGTTGGTCACCTCTCTGAGAAAGCTTACTTGGCTGCCCAATCAAATTATATCCCTGCCAAGGACCCCCAACCTGTCACAACACTTTGTATTTTTCTCATCTGCCAAATTGTCTTAGTTACTTTTATCTCACCACTGAGACAAAATACAGATGCTCAAGTTTAGAACAGGAAAAGATTTATTAGCTCATAATTGGTAGAGGTTTCAGTCCATCATTTGCTGGCTCCAAGGCAGGGAGGCACTGCACAGTGGAGCATATTTCATGGTGGGTGGCAAAGCCACGGGGCCTTCATCGCGTCTTTCTGCCCTTTTATCTGACCCAGGCTGCCACGATTAGTGCCAAAGCAATCAGCGGATGGATTTAGTAATCACCCACCCTTAATCTTAGCACTGTACCCTGAATCCATCACACACTGTAAATTCAGCCACCTATGACCGCATGAGGCTTTGGGGAACATCTAGACGGAAGTCGTCACACACGTCACCAGTCTGCTCGTGAGCTTGTGTGGCCATCTCCTTAACATCCATTTCTGACCCTACAGTAAACAGGGGAGCAACCACAGGGCCTGGCTTTGTGTACAACCCCTCATCATATAGTTCATGTTCCCAACTGTGTGTCTAGATAGTCAGTAAATATGTTTGCAATGAATGAGGATTTCATCCTTAGTAAAATAAAAGGAGCCAAAAATAAATAAAATGAATCAAAAGGAGCCCACCTACATTTCACTTCCTAATGCTTACAGTAGGCCCTGATTCTGGAATCCTCTGCTCAAGCCTCTGAGTCTGATCACCTGCAAGTCCCAGAATCCTGCCCCCACTACACCTCTCTGATTAGCATATTAACAAGAATTATCTCGAATCCCCAGAGACTCACTGGGGTAACCCAGGCCCTGGGTATTTGACAGCTGAAGAGAAAGAAAGGAAATCCTGATGAGTCACTGATGATGATCACTACTTTAAATTTTTTCCCCAAACTAGTCCATCTCTCTTGTCAGTGCTGTAACTGGGGTGGAATGCATCAGGCAAGAGAAAATTTACTCAAAGATTACCTCCCTCCTAGGTCTCTGCAGGTGAGGAGGTGTAATTTTAGAATAATGAACACTTCCCAGTGGCCAGGCAGTGTTTTAAATTCTCACACCCACCCTGTAATAATGTACATACGGTTACAGTTCCATTTCACAGATGAGACAAATTAAGGCACAACGGAATACAGTAACTTGCTCAAGGTCACAAAGTTCCTGCCACTTTGCTGTTAACCATCACATACACTGCCTCTCATATTTGAAAAAGCAACTGTTGCAAAAAGAAACATTTATGACACTCATGTAACAGCTGCAAAACAGGGCTTCTTCACTAGCGGAGGCAGGGTTGGAAAAGGTGGAGGTTGGCATCCTTATGGGTCACATGGCCCAGGCCGCCTTCTGGGGCTGAAACTCAAGAGCGGTGATGCTTGTGGAATGAACACGGACAGGTTCCCCTCCCCCAAGAACAACATCACTATTCTGCCAGGAGCTTCAGCTCCCTGCCCAGAGCTGCGGTTTGCAGCAGGAAGCAAGCATGGGCATCAATTATCAGGAACTCTTTTCCAACAAGGACCCCCAACTCCATGCCTCACATTAACACCAGGTAGAGTGATACACACAATTTACCAAGTCTCGCGAGCTCCCAGCACTCTGAGCAAACCCATTGTGATCCTGAAGACAATAATATCCAATCCATGCCAACACACTGTAGGGGATTTATTGTGCTGTAAACAAAATAACAGCTGGGTGTGGTGGCCCACGCTTGCGATCCCAGTACTCAGGAGGCTGAGGTAGGAGGTTCGCTGCCAGTCTGAAGACAGCCTGGGCTACAAAGTGAGTTCAAGACCAGCCTGAACTTCATAGCAAGACCCTGTCTCCAAAAGAAAAAAGTTTGACAGCTCCAAATAGTACATCCATTGCCTTTTCCCTGTTATTCAGCACAAGACCTGTCCCACGGGTTTTCAGCAACCACTAGGCTTAAAATAAAATCCAGTCTTTACTATGCTGGGTTCGGCAGCACATGTACTAAAAATCCAGCCTTGACCACTGCCCACAGGCTGTCCCTGATCTCCTGACCCTTGTCTACCTCCTGACTTGCAGCGACATTGGTTTTCTGTCCGTTGGGCCTATTGCCGGGTCCCTCTGCCTGGATTATTCCTAGATTTTGGCTCTGCTGAGCTCCAGTCAACATTCAAAACGCAAGCATCACCTCCTTCCCCTGAGAGCTCCCTCCACAAACTCCCCACCTCTAACCCTTCTGCCTGGAAGCTGAACTACGCCTGGAGTTGAGAGTTCTGGCACACAAGCCTTTACAGCACAAATGCTGAATACACAATCTGTCAGCTGTCTCCGCGTCTGCTCAAAATACCCAGGGGAAATTAATTGATTAAATACCCCAAACGGTGGCATAACGCATCCCTTCAAAACAAAGGCGGGATCCCGGGGCTGCCGTGGTAAATGGCCATCTCCGGAGGACGCCGAGAACACCCTTTCCCGGCGGGGCACACACTTTCAGGGAAGCGAAACCCGAAGGGCGCGCGGCGCGCTGCCTACCTTGAACTCGGCGGAAAGTTGGGGCGTGTACTCGCGGGTCCAGAGCGCGCGCACCAGCGCCGCCAGCTGCTCGGTGACCTCGGCTCGGCCCGGCGCCGCCCGGTAGCGGCCGAGCGCCAGGAACTCGGCCAGCAGATCGGTGTTGCTGAGACACTGCACCACGGCGTTCATGAAGCAGGTGTTACCGTGGTTCTTCAAGCCCTGGGCGCCGGGCGGCCGCGCCCCGTCGCCCGCGGGGAGCTGGTGCTGGAGTGCGGGGGATCGCTCCACCCCCGGACTCCCGGGGGCCGCTGGAGTCGGGCCCGGGGTGCAAGCGAAGCCACCCTCGCCGTCGCCATCGCAGTGTCCCGGCTGGAGCTGGGCATGGGGCTGGGACCGGGGCGGCGAGTCCCCGGGGCGGGAGCGGCTGCCCAGCGCCAGCAGGAAGCGGTGAAGCAGGCGGCGCAGGGAGCGGCGGCGGCGGGGCCGGGACGCGGGCCGCCCTTCTGCGGCCGCGTCCCCCGGGCCTGGCTCCATGGCTCCCACCGGCGCTACTCCCACAGCGCAGCCCCCCGGACTGGTACGAGGGCGAGCGCCGCTCCCCAGGCCCTTCCAGCCTCGGAAGGCGCCCGGCCCCGGCTACCTGCGGACCAGGTGTGCGGGGCCGGACGAGGGCGGAGCCGAGGGCGGGGCCGCCCCGCCCCGCGCGGGAACCCTGCGCGTCCCCAGCCTGGGGGGCAGTGCCCGGCCGCCCCTGCCCGCACTGAACCCTCCCTGCGGCCCGGGAACCCGGTATAATCCCCGGGAGCCGTCGGGTTGCGTTCCCCACCCTGCCTCGCTTCTTGTAAATCAATGGGCCTAGATTTTGCCTCTGTTCCTCTTCCCCGCCCATCCTTCCAGCTGTGGAAACGATAGGAACGGAACCTTCGAAGGCGCCTAGGAAATTGCAAAACCTGGCTTTTGCCAAGTTTCTTGTGATTACGCCTAGGAGGAGACGGAGAAAAGGGACAGGGTCTTCCAAGGGCAAGGCAGGTCCGGGAAGCGTGTGCCGGGAGCTGCGGAGCGTGGGGAGCGCTGTGTGGTCGCGGACTGCTCACCCGGTCAGGTGGGCGCGGACAGGGGGCGCCACCGCCCCGGGAGCTGCTGAGCGTGGCGTGCAGGGCTGTGAAAAAACACCTGGAAATGAGCGTGTGTTTGTGTGTGTGTGTGTGTGTGTGTGTGTGTGTGTGTGTGTGTTTGTAATTACAGCCGAGGTTAGAATCATTCTCCAAAAACTTGCAAGACTTGATCATCTTCATTTTAAGTGGAAAAATGGGCTCAGTTTCCCACCGCGTAGAGGCCGCCAGCCAGTACGCAGAGAAACCGGAACTCGAACTGTCTGCGCTCTCCGCCTAGCTCCGGCCTCCTCCGAGCTCTGTACTCGCTCAGCAGGAAGTTTTCCAGCTCCCCGGCGCGCCCCCTAAGCGGTGGTCTGTTCACTAGTCGATGCAAAATCCTCGCTGAGTTGTTGCCCAATCAGAGCTGGTTCGGCCCGGCCCCGCCCTTGATTCCTCGGGCAACCCCCGGGGGCCTCTACGGCCTTTATTCCACAACTGTCAGGTTTATAATTAACCAAACAAGGTCTTGCAAAATGAATTTCTCATCAGTTTCTCTCTCAGAGATAGGCAGGATGTGGAATTACCTCAGCACCCTGAAATGTGACTTGCTTTAATAAATACGTGATCATCGTTTATTAAGTATCCACGTTGATCTTTCAAGTCGGGTCACGGCAATTCTCTGACTCCACGAGAATAGCATTAGTTAAAGAATATGCCTAGAATATAAGAATGTTCTGTGGCCTGAAGACAAGCATTTTTGAAAATACTATCGTCTACATTCCCTGGGAAAAGGTTCCTTGTTGAACGATTAGTACGAAAGACCCATCTCCTCATCTCGTGGTAAGCTTTGGAGAAAGAATTTATCACCAGCTCTAGCATCTCTGTAATTTCATCTTTGAGAATCTCAAGGTCCCACAACATGTGGTTTCTTTGCAAAAGCACGCGAATTAAACCCTCTGTGTCAGGAATTATAATTTCATAACAAATTCACTTCATTTTCACAATACCTTTTTTTTAGAAAGTTTTTTTTTGGGGGGGAGGAGTCGTTTGTTTTCTTTTTGAGACAAGGTCTCAATGCATAGCCCAGGCTGGCCTTGAGTTCACAGCAATCCTGAAAGGAAGTTGCTCTCCGCAAAAGAGAAAACAAGGGCTGAGAAGTTTTTTTAGAAGCTTGCCAGAGGTTTGGGTTCAAACCTCTTGCTCTGAGTATGGCTTGACCAGGGAAAAGATGATTCAGAAGGGAATCTCACTTTGCTTCATTTTTGGAGGATAGCAATGCTAATACCTATGGACATATGCAAAAAGTCTGTGGGTTTCACAGTTACAGAAGAGAAATTATGGGGCGGGGGATATAGCTAAGCGCCATAAGCACCTGCCTGGCAGGCACAAAAAGTCCCTAGATCAATCCCCGATACCACAAAAAAAAAAAAAAAAAAAAAAAAAAGGATTCGCACAGTAAGATTATGATTGGGAATTTATTCATAATAAAAAACTTTACAATCTGGACAAATTATTCTTGAGCATATTTCAATTTTAAAGTATAGATTTAGAAAAAAATTGTTCTTTTTTTAAAGGTACAGTTTAAGAAAACAAGATGTGTTCTAGAAAGGAGAAATCTAGAGATAAAACATTTTGACCAAAGAGCCAAAAGTGAGAGGTGAGACATGAAGGCTAGCGTTGGAATATCCAAAGTCAGTCCGCAGAACCGCACACAGCACAGTGGAGGTCCTGGCAGCTTAAGAGGCATAGGGGTACTTCCATCGGAGAATAGCCCCATCGGCACTTACGCTCACAATGTACTTATTTCCTGGACTTATCCGGACACGAGTGATGTTGCCGCTGTGCCCCATCCCAACATGAGTCACCTCACCCTTGTTGTAATCCCAGACTTTGACCAGATGGTCATTTCCACCTGAAATACATGGTTACATGGCACTGTAGAACAGAAACAGCTCTGGTTCCAAATTACCAGATCATTTTCAACACATTTCCACATACTAACTTAAAGAACAATCTATATACATGTAATGCATCTGCTTGATTATGAAAAAAAAAATCTACATGTTGTACTAAATTTGGAGGGTGAGCCTATCCAAAGAGGTGAAATTACCCTTCATCCTACCAGCTAACAGCTTTTTGGTTCAGTTCTTTTAAGTGTTTTCTCCAGAGGTGTTCTGGTATACACCTAGATCTGGATATGTGATTGAGATCACACTGTTCAGTTCTTCTTGCTCCCAGACAGTGTGTTTGTGAGACTTTAATTCACTGATGTTGTTTCAGTTGGTGTGTTGGATGGTAAATGTCTCCTGCATACTGATTAATTCATTTATTTGGGAAGAGGGCCCCATATCACTCAACCATGAAAAGAAATGAAAGCGACTGCTTGGGCTGAGCATGGTGACCCACACATGAAATCCCAGCACTCTGGGAAGCAGAGGGTGAAGGGTATCAAGTTGAGTCCAACTGGGCAACTTGGTGACTTAACAAAACCCTGGGTCAAAATTAAAAGAAAGAAAGAAAATGAGAGAGAGAGAGAGAGAGAGAGAGAGAGAGAGAGAGAGAGAGAGAAAGAGAGAGAGAGAGAGAGAGGAGGGCTTCAAATTTAGCTCATTGAGAAGGCCCTGGGTTTGATTCCTAGTACTGAAGAAAAAAAAAAATAGTATATAGGACTTTAATAGAAAATAGTACAGAAAGGTAATTGGACAGCCTAGGACAGTGGTGGTGAACCGATGGCATGCATGCCATCATGGGTTGTTTGTATCATTGAAAGTTCTAACAGGTTCTCCATCACTGGCCTAAAACATTTAAAGGCCCATTTCTATCATTAATGCCCACAACAAAACAGCATAAGGTTACCTTCTATTTGTGACCCTATGTTACCCTATGTCTTCTCTTTGAAATGTGACTTTTAGATTGCTCTACATTGGCTGTCCTGCTGAGATTTGCATCCCCCCTTGACATCTTTTGCTAGCTTTTCCAACAGCCTCCCACTAAATAATCCACAAATAATCTTCTTTTTGCATCCCAGGACTAACCTGTGACAAAGTATGCTCCGTCCTGTGTAATATCCATACCATTTATTGAGCCAGATAAGGCACCCTCCAACTCTCGGATAACTGTCCCATCAAATACTTCCCAGTAAGCAATCTGGAATACAGGAAGGAAGCATTAGGCAGGATTCAGCTCAGTGGAATCATCCATGCACATGCTAACAAAAGATGGTTCTACTTTATATAGAAGGCAGCAAAAATACATCATGGGATGGTATTGGCTGAAATTATAAATAGGCTACAGCAGGGGGTGGAGAACCCTTTCTAATATTTTTAGTATTGGTCTTTAAATTTGCATACTATTTAAAGAGATGTTGATATGCTGATAAACCTGGATAGGGACAGAAAGAGCTTTTGATAAGACTAAGCAGATTGAGTCTATAGCAAGATGTAAAATAAACAAGAGAACAGCCTCTGCTTCAGCACTTAGAGGAGGACAGTAAAGCTACAAGCCTGTGGGAGAAAAAGTTCCTTCTTCCTCGTGTGGGTTGAGGGGCTGAGAAAGATCACTGCTGAGAGTTCTGTCACCTTCCACAGTCACCCACCCCAGTCCAGCTGGACTCTCCCTCTCTTTGGAACCACCCTTATGTCCAACTTCCCCTTCAGCCCCAAAGCAATAAGATATTCCACAGGGTGGGGTTTAAGGACCAAGTGATATCATTAGTCCCTCCACAGTAGGGAACTAGGTGGGAGGGAGAGGCAGGTTGGGGGGTTGGGGGGACAGTTTTCTCTGAAGATAGTCATAGTCACGTATGGGTATCAGCCAGAAGGATATGTTCCAGGGTCCTCCATGGCTGTAAAACATGCATGAATACTCAACACCCTCTCACTTTTTTTTTTTTTTTAAACAGGGCCTCTCTGTGTACTTCAGGCTATCTTTGAACTTACTATGGAGCCTAGGCTATCCTCAAACTCATGGCAATCCTCCTGCCTCAGCCTTCCCAGTGCTGGGATTACAGGCATGCACCACCATGCCTGCCATTCTGTATATTTGAAATCATCTTTCAGGGCTAGGAAGATAGCTTGACGATCTAAGTGCCTGCCCGGCAAATGCAAGGACCCAGGTTCAATCCCTGGTACTACATGCTGTGCCAGCCCCAGAACCCTGGGTGTGCCGTGCTAGCTACCAAAACTGGGCATGGTGGTGAAAGCCTGTAATCCCAGTGCTGGGGAAGCTGAGACAGGAGGATCATTATGAGTCCAAGCTGCATAGTGAGACTCTGTATCAAATAAATAAATAAAGACATAATTTTAAAAAACTTTTTTAATACAATTAAAATTAAAAAGAGGCTCTAGTTTACTTATAACACCTAATATAATGTAAATGCTCCATTATAATACGTTATTTGGAGAATAGCGGAATGGAGAAAAGAAGTCTGTACATGTTCACTAGAGGTGCAAAATTTTTCCCAGAATACTTCTGTCCTTCAGAGCTGAACTGAATGTGTAACTCTAGCACCCTCAGATAGGGAAGCCAACTGTGCCTACCTTTCTATCTGTCCCACTAGTGATGATCTGGAACTCTTCGGGGTGATAACACACACACTGGAATAAGGTGTTGGCCAGGATCATCTGATTTCTCTTAAGACGCCTGAAAAGTAAGATTCAAAAGTTATGAAAGTCAACTTTCTCTACCCTCAAAACTGTTCCAATTGCGCTCGGTACAAGCTTGGGTTTGGGGTGCTTTAACTTTCTCGGGCTTTTCATGTGGCTCCACACAACAGCACATGTAGCCTTCCAGGGTGGAGATGTGACTTAACAGTTGAGTACCTGTTTGCCTGTGTGTAGGAAGCCCTGGGCTCAATCCCCAGCACTGGGGAAAAACATGACTTCTGATTGCTCTGCTCTACTTCCAAATCCTCCTATGGTATCTGTCAGTAGTGGTCAGGTCGTAGGGGCCCTTTCGAAAGACAGAGTGCAGAATTCAGTGAGGATCCTTACTTTCCAGATAGAAGGACATCCAGGCCGGCTCCCCAGGGGCTGACCCCACAGCCCATCTTCTGGCTCCTACACAATTATATTCATCTTCAAGGGCACCCTTGAAGGGAGCTTCCCTCAAGCTAAGGGGTGAACAGTGGGGATGGATAGATGGGGTTAATTTTTAATAGATACTATCGGGCCCCACTTCTAGAAATTTGGACTGTGTGGATTAGGAGGAGGTCCAAAGATTTGCATTTGAACCCAGCACTTTATGTGCACTAGAGTTTGAGAGCACTCCTGCTTTAGATGCTTGACCAGGTTGTATGATGTTCTTTATCCAAAATGCTTAGGACAAGAAGTATTTTGGATGTGGGAGATGTGGACGTTTTTGGAACACTGCATAACCTTTGCCAGTTGAGCATCCCATTTTGGAGAATTTTGAATTTCAGATTTTTTAGATCAAGACCAAGAAATATGGAAGCGTCACTTCTCCTTCCCTGATAGATGTGCTGGGCATAACCATCTCAAAGGCCCAGTTCTCCTGGCAAAACAGACAGACAGACAGACAGACAGACAGACAGACAGACAGACAGACAGACAGACAGACAAAAACCAATCTCGTCTGGCAGTTTTTTCTCACTAGAAGTTTCCAAACATGACAGCTGAGCTGGGCATTTTTAAAGAGTTTGGTATAGATTAACCTAATATTCCAATATACAACAGAAAAACTATCAGGATACAAGGCAGTCACAGACCATCCACGCAAATAAACATTCTGATGACACATTTTCCCAAAGCAAAGCCCAAGTGTAGACTTCTACAATTAGGGTGCTGGGGCAAAGATCCCCATTCTGAGATGAGCTCTAGGTGCCTGAGGATCAAAGTTGGAGACACGCAGGTCTAGAAGACAGAGGCTTGCTTTGCTTTTGTCTCCTCCCACCCCCAGGACTGGACATTGAACCCAGGGGTACTGAGCTACATCCTCAGCTCTTTTTATTTTTATTTTGAGACCAGGTCTCACCAAGTTGCTCAGCCTAGCCTTGAACTTGCCATTTTCCTGCTTCAGCCTCCTGAGCCACTGGGATTACAGGTGTGCACCACCACACCTGGCTGCTTTCTGCTTTTTTAATGTAAAAAAATGCTTCAGTTTTTATTTCAGCCCTCATTCTCTTCTCTCTCATCAAGGCTATTTTAAATTCTTTCACCCAATCTGCCTCCCTCCATCTATGTACTTACTCCTGTCTCTTTCTTGCAGTTATACAGAGGCATGCATCCCAGGAGGGCAGAGGGTGGATGGAGGACTGGGAGGAGGAGTTGGAAGATAGGGTTTGATTCCCAAATAAAAATACATGGCAAAAATGCTTATGTTAAAAATTCAGAATTCACCCTTGAAAATTCCTGGAGTTCCTCTCATGACAAGGTGCATATGCTCTGGTCTAGTTTGCTGGGTGGGGAACACACTGGCCAGGGTGTGGTGTGCTCAGTGTAAGAGGTGCTGGGAATGTGGCCAGCTGAGGGCAAGGGCAAGGCTATGGCTCCTGGGTCCCTCCCTCCCTCCCGTGGCAGGTGCACTGTGGGCCCCATGTCACTGTGTTGACTGACCAGGGCAACTGCCCACAGCCCTTATTTCTTAGGTCCCTTTCTAGAAGTAAGTCAGTGCAAGTTAAATCATGCTTTCTGTATGTATCCCAAAAGCTACTTTCCTATCTGCCCAGAAATTTCACTCAACTCTTCCTCGAGACTGTCCCCTTTCCACTGGCATCTGTAAACCCTGGCCAGGCATGGAGAATGAATATCCATTCACTGTTTCTTTAACCTCTAGATTTCTACCTACCTTTAGAGTCTGTACCACGTTCCTACAGTGCTGGCACAGTCAGGGTTGCTAGGTGCCATGTACCCTCCCCCTCCCGGGTACCTACACCAGGTCCCAAATGATGCAGGTGCCGTCCGTGCTGGCCGTGACACACTCCTCGTTGTTCTTCTTCACCCGAATGCAGGACACAGAGGATTTGTGCTCCTTCAGGGCCTCCTCCAGCTTCTGGGTTTGGCAGCCTATCTGCCATACCCTCACCTGAGGGCCCAGAGCACAGGTTCTCTCTCAGTACAAGGGAGAGAGAACCTTGGGAGCTTGAAAGGGATGGGATCAAAAATGCCCCTGAAAACCTTTCCATTCCTGCACTGTCTGACTTTCTTTTTTCTTGTACTAGGGGACAAACCTAGTGCCTTCTCACTAAGCCATCCCTCTAGCATCCTTCATGCTCCCTGTTTAGGTTTTGAGACAGGGTCTCACGCAGTGGCTGAGTTGCCCAGGTGGAGCACAAACTTGCTAACATCCTGCCTTGGCCTCCTGGAATGCTGGGATTTCAGGTGTGTGCCTATGCAGCCTGTTTTTCAATTCCCTGTCCTTGTCTCAGTTGGCTGACATGGGAATGATGTGTTGCAGGCCAAGAATATTCATGGCCACGATGCCATCATTGTCCATGGAGCTTGAGAAATAGTATCAGTGGTCTACATCTACTTCTACTTCTGGGCTGAGAAATTTATCAGACATCTACTAGGAAAATCAATAGTACCATGGCCTCCACTAACCCGAGCATAATAACATGGCTACTCATTTCTGCTGAGCTTTGCTCTCAAATTTCTGGTGCCATCAGGGAATTTCTTAAGATACCCAGAGCCGTATTTAAACTTTCACATCAGCCATTCAATTTTAAATCACTTAAAACCAATAGTACTCAACCCTATGGAACTCAATACCCATTTTCTATCGCAAGTATTTTCCACTATCCATTTATTCTCCCAAAATGAAATTCATAGGTAATACCTACACACAGAATTTTAAGCAGGCAATATGTGGCCCTAATTTTAATAATAAATAAAGGTCGGCCAAATAGCTCAGTGGATTAAAGCGCTTACAAGCAGGTGCAGGGACCAGGGGTTTGATCCCCCGCCTGCCAAGCTGGCTCCGCCTCCAGGGCACACTGAGATGGCAACTGAGATTGGGCATGATGGCCCGTGCCTGTAATTGCAGCACTTGGGAGGCTGTAAACAGGCGAATCACTACAAATCTGATCTAGTAGTGAGACCCTGAACACCCTGTAGACCCTTCTCTAAAATACAGAAAAATAAATAAATAAAAGTTATTTATAGTTAGTATAATATGTCCTTTTAATACATAAATGTGGGCCAGGGAGATAGCTCAGTAGAATAAGCTCCTGCCTGGCATGCGCAGGGTCCTGAGTTCAATCCCGGGACCAAAAAAAAAAAAAAAAAACCCAGAAAAAATACATAAAGGCTCTGGGGGCTAGGGAGATAGCTGTGCGTCTAAGTGCCTGCCTGGCAAGCACAAGGACCCAGTTCAATCCCTGACATGGCTCCCTGTGCTGGCTCCAGAACCCTGGGTGCACATGACACACCTGTAATCCGAGCACTGGGGAGGCTCTGAGACAGAAGGATCACTATGAGTCTGAGCTGCCTAGAAAGACCCTGTATCTAAATAAATAAATAATTTTAAAAAAATACATAAAGGTTCTGTTACAGGCACACCAGAAAACATAGTAGTATAGTCAGATGTTTACACTGTCTTAGAATGAATGTTAGATTTTAAAAAAATAAAAGGAGCCAGACGTGGTGGTGCAAGCCCTGTAATCCCAGTGCTCAGGAGGCAGAAACTGTTCTGTACAATTAGTCCAGGACAGGGAAGGGACGTGATCCAACTGAACACTGGATTAAAAACTTGTGTTTGGATAACTAATAACAGACTAGACTTACTTCACCTGGAAAGACAAAAAATAACTTTAAATGAAATAAGGAACACATCATAAAATACTTTGTACACTGTCAAAGAAAATGACTCAGTATGAGGTTATCCCAAAGTATCAGGGTCATGTTTAGTATCCAAATTCTTAAAGCATTACCAGCATCAAGAAAACAAATTTCCTTCATTTTGGGGGTTTTTCTGGTGCTAAGGGTCAAGCGCAAAACCTTGTGCCTGCTGAGTGTGCGCTCTGCTCTGGGGCCACACCCCGGCCAAATGTATCTGGAGATCCCCACTATGCATGGAAGCTTTAATATTTAGCAAGGGTGATGCTGTATTTAGAAAATAAGGTGTGAGCATCCACCAAGCGGCTTGGGATTACAAATGGGTCTGAGAGGGCCCTTGGATATGCCAGGTGTTAACCTTTTAGTTGTGGAATTGTTGGGAGTTTAGGGTACACTTGGAGGAAGGGGACAAGGTGGTGGCATTGAAGTATGGGCAAATGGGCACTCGGGGCAATGACCATTTATTGTAGAAAATGGAAGAGCCTGAGCAGTTTAGCAACTGCTGCGTTCCTTCCTGTGCGTAGCTGCTGACTGGCAGCTCTGGTCTGTAGTGTACTTCGAAAGACCTTGAAGTCTGTGTCCTAAGAAAGGAGAGACTTGCAATAGCTGAGCAGAGCAAAAAGGAAGAGAAGTTGATGTGGGACTGGGGAAAGAGGGCTGAGCAGGCAAAGAGGGTGCTTCTGTGTGCCGCAGTGCTAGAGACTGAACCCAGGACCTCATGCATGGCCAGAGCTCGCTCACTGAGCTACATACATCTCCAGCACTTCTTATTTTAAGACAAAGTTTCACTAACTCGCCCAGGGTAGCCTTGAACTTGGGATTCTTCTGCTTCAGCCTCCCTATTAGCTGGAATACAGGGCTGGAATACACCCAGCTGAGCAATGTATTTGTAAAGTGTAATTTCCTCAGGTGGTTCTCACAAGCTTGAGCTTAGGTGACTAGATTGCACATAGTCCCTCCAAGGTATGAGACAGCAAGGGAGGATGCCGGGATGTCAGCACAGGCGTGGCTGAGGTGATGAAGGGTGCAGTAAAGCCAAAAGGTGGTGATGGGAGGGCAGCCATGTGCCGGGAGGGTGAGTGTGGAGATAGAGCTCGTCAGATATGGAGGGACCCTGGCTGTTCAACACACAGAACAGCTTTTGGAGACTTAGTAAAAAAAAAAAAAAAGAACAATATCTCATTAATAGAAGTATTTTCTTCAGTTTAGACCTGAGGAAACCAAAGCATGCAGAAGCTAAAGCGTATGCCCAGGTCTCATGAGTATAAGTTGCAGAAGGGAAATCTGAGCCCAGGCATTCATCCCCTTTGCTGAAATTCTGCTAACAGGTCCCTCAGGTGTTCTATCTGACAAACCTTCCCATAAGAGCTGAGAAAGAAAAGGAAAAAATAATGTCCTGTATAAACAAAGGGGGAGATTTAGGATTTTTTCTTTTAAAAAAAAGCTGGGGTACAGGGAAAGGGAAACTCCTCAATAAAGCTGTGAGTAACAGGTATTTTAGGTGCCTTGGACTGATGGAAAGGTTGAATGCAGTGATTATAAAATAATACAAAAACATCTAGTATGTTAAATACAGGCAGTTGATCCTATACATATTATCCACTTTAAAAGATAAAGACAATTTATCCAACAGTGGTTCTTGAAGGAAAAGAACAAGTATGTCAGAGCCCTGGCAAAAATCATAGCTGAATTCCACATAGAGAACTCTTACATCTACATCTGAAATGTCTTTTCTGTGAACAAAGGTATTTATGTGTCTATTTACATGATTGGAACTTTAATTCATGATGCATTTTATGGTTTCATCAAAATCTTAATTGGCTCTGCCTGAAGCCTAGTAAAGGTACATATTTTAAAAATCAAATACTTGCCTGGCAAGCACCAGGGCCTGAGTTCAATCACAGGTTCCACAAAAATAAATAAAAAATAAATAAATAAATAATAAAAAATGGCCTATGAGTTAACTGCTCTCAAAGTTTCCTTTTTTAAAAAAAACAAAAATCTGTTTTCTTTCTTTCTTTCTTTCTTTCAATGTATGTAGTACAGGATCTACTGGGTCTCACTACATAGATCGGACTCATAGTGATCCTCCTGTTTTCAGCTACCCAAGCGCTGGGATTACAGGTGTGTGCCACCACGCCCAGTTTCAATCCTGGTCCCGGGGGGCGGGACCGATCAAACCCTATACCCTGCGTCTGCCTAAGCAGGCGCTTTAGTCCTTGGAACTAGCTACATGGCCAGCCCTTAAATTCTGTTTTCAAGAACATTACCTCCCCTTCCCCACCACCGCTGATGACCCTTTTACAGTCGCTAGTGGTGGCGATGGCAGTCACTCCGATCCTGTGAGCATTGCTAATGACGTACAGCAGTCGGCCGGTCTCAGGGGCGAAGGCCCGGATTTTACCATCATTCCATGCTGGGGTGAAAGGGAGACAAAGGGCAGGCAGGATCAGCATACGGCCCACCCTCTCTACAGACTCTGTTGTCCTAAATGAGAAATGAGAGTGAGACTTGGAAAAAGTGGCAATGATGGAGGAAAGACGCCTCCAGCCCTCCACACAACTCCCCAACCATCCCCTGGTCCCTAAACAGGTCAGGACTGACTGAAGAAAAGGAGGGGTTTGTTTCACTGAAACTGCCTCCAGGGGGACTTCACCAAGAAAGAGAGAGTGGGGAGAGGAGGAAGGGGGAGCCCAGCTTCCACCTCTCTAGGAGCTACAGACTTGTACATCCACCTGCTAGAGGCTATCAGACCTGCAACACATCATTTAACAATTCCAAACTATTCTTGGCTACTACCCACTCTCATCTTTAAAAATGTTCCTTTTGCCATTCTCACCTCTTTCCACCTCAGGGAACACTGCCATCAGCCATCTCGTTGCATAAGCCAAGAGATCCAGTCATTCCGATCCCTCTATATTCCATCTACCTCACCCTATCTGACATCTGACCCATCAGCAAATCCCATCAGCTGCACCATTAAAAACATTGAGAATCTTAACACCTTTCCACCCTTGCACTGGCACCACCCTATTCAAGCCACAAGTGTGCATTTCCCTTGGGTAAGTGCTTCGTGTGTGTGTGTGTGTGTGTGTGTGTGTGTGTGTGT